TAAATAAATAAATAAATAAAAATGGGATATGTGGCCCTTTGTGTCTGGCTTCATTCGATTAGTGTATTATTTTCAAGATTCATTCATTCCGTAGCATGTATCAGTATTTCATTCCTTTTTATGTATGAATAGTACTCCATTGTATAGATGTACCATATTTCGTTTATTCATCAGTTTCTACATTTTGGCTCTTATAAATAGTGCTGCTATGAACATTGGACACAGATTTTCGATGTGTACGTATGTTTTCAGTTTTCCTGGGTATATAACTAGTAGTGATATAGCCGGGTCATAGCCTAACATCTTGAGGAACTGCCGGACCATTTTCCAAAGCAGCTGCGCATCTTACATCCCACCAACAAACAGTGTATGGGGGTTTCAATTTCTCCATGTCCTTGTCAACACTCGTTATTGTCTCCCTTTTTAGTTTTAAACAGCTATTAAAAAATATTTTTTCTTGTTTATTTTATTTCATATTTCTCTAAAAGACAGCTATTATCTTGTCCTTCTTAAAGACAACCTCCTGACCCCAGCGCTGGGGGCGAGCAAGAGACGCTTAGCAGCTCACCCTGAACCCCAAGTGTTCACCGCGGGACCCAACAACACGTCCCCTCCTCGACACACCCTCTCCTCGGGGCCACGTTGGGGCGATCGTGAGGATAATAAGCAGGGACGGGAAAGGGGAAGGAGGGCCCGGCCATTCCCGTTCACGGTCTGGCCCGGGGAGAGGTATCCCTGTACACACGGCCCTTTCCCGTCTGGCTCCGCCCTGAGACGTGGGCAAAGCGAGGCCCCGCCCCTTCCTGGGAGCAGCTCCGCCCAGGCCCCNTGGGCCCGGGACCCGGGACCCGGGCCTGCGAGAGGAGTCGGCGCCAGCCCTGGGAGGCTCCAGGGCCCCAAGCACGGTCCTGAGAGGGAGACGCCTGGGGCCGGGGCTCCAGGTCCCGGTACTGGGGAAGGGGGTGCCGTGGCAGAGGCCCCTGACCCCTGCCCCTGACTTCCAGCCCCAGGATGCTCCCCTTTGCCTCCTGCCTCCCTGGCTCTCTACTGCTCTGGGCGCTGCTGCTGTTGCTCTTGGGGGCAGCCTCTCCCCAGGATTCTGAGGAGCCCGACAGCTACACGGTGGGGACTGTGGGGCCACTGGCCTGGGATGGGATGGGCAGGGACAGAGGGATCAGGATCCTGGGTGGCTGCTGCTGGGAAAGATTCTCCCCTCCTCAGGTTGGTGGAGCATCTGGGGGCCACTGTTTGGAGCATGCCAAGAGGGTGGCCACGGTCAGGCCCTGGTCTTGGGTTGGCCAGTTGACCACTGGCCACCTCTGGTTCCCTTCAAGGAATGCACAGATGGCTATGAGTGGGACCCAGACAGCCAGCACTGTCGGGGTGAGTGTGCCTGGAGGACCAACCACCCCGATGCCAGGAAAGGGACTGCTGGTTATCAAGGATGGTCCTACCTCCAAGAGCTGCAGCGGTAGCCCAATGGCCTGTCCAGGGCTGAAGCCAGCTGTGGTTCTCCGGGGGCCAGTTCAACTAGGGGTACCCCCCCCAGAAACCCTGGAAACCCTGCCCTTACCCCGCAGTAGGCAAGAGAGCAGCTGGGCAGTGCCTAGAGAAGCCAGGCCCTGTACACCTTCTCTGAACCGCTGTCCTGTCCCAGCTCTTTGTCCCATCACAACTTGGGAGGGCAGTGCCCACGGGGGTGGGTAAGGAGGCCTGCAAATCACTCTTGGGCTGAGCTTTGGGGATGGATAGAGACCTACTTGGAGGCAGGAGAATGGGGGCAACAGTGGGAACCACTGCCCCATCTTCAGCCCTGGCAGGCCCTGGGGAGGGGTCCTGGGCAGGCGGCCTTCGCTGGGTAGAGAGGGAGGCTTTGCCCAGGTCACACAGCTTAGAGAAGGCCAAGCTGGGCTCCTGCCTCCACCTCCCTCCAGGGCCAGCCCAGG